TGCATTGGCACGCATTGCAGTAGCTTGTTCTGTGTATCCCTCTAACTTTCTCCCTCCCTCTTTTCATAAACTACAATGTATTTGTTGAATAAACTGAATTGCTTGTCCTGTTGTTTTCCTCACAGACTGGACTTTACTGATTGCATCTATATGGTATAGTTGTGTGTGTTATTTCTTCTGTTCTTATAAAATATTGGCTAAATCATTATATTCTCAGGTTCAATTTTTTAGTAAAACTGATTCATAGATGACGGTGTGTCTTTCCCTCAGGAGGCAAATAATATCTCATTGTCTTTCTCTCTGTGATGTTAGCAGCCATTTATATTCAAAACCTAGATCTAATATTTAATTAGGGGCTGCAAAATTGGTATATTTTAAATTCTCTCATTCCTTCTTTGTAGGTAGGCTGGGATATTTCTATAAAAAGAAACTTCAGCTACTGTTTGGTTACAGTGTGGCATAAGATACTTAGGAAAAGCAGACCAATGTTTAGTATTTTATCATCATTTATCAGTTTATAATATAAAAATGGTTTGGTAGCATCCTCCAACATTGAGCCATTATTTGTGTGTGTGTGTCAGTCTGAATTCATAAATTTAAATAAATTGGATGTGCTTCAGCACATCGTTGTTACTGTGTTCACTGATGCTGATATTGTGACAGCTCTGGCCAGTGGGAGCCCTCCTCATTACTACTCTTTGAGTCATCTGCAACATAAACTTAGAGATTTGAAGTAGCTTCTTTTCTCTCTGGGACTACAGGATTATCAAGTGTATCTTGTACACATTCAATTGCTTCAGCATGATTTTTATTGGTGTCTTTGAAAAGACAAAGTGACCATGTATAGATGGACCTATTTATGGACATTCTCTTCTTTTTTATTGATCTGTCTGAATGTGAATTCATTATACTCTTAATTACTGTAGGTTTATAATGAATCTTGTCTTTGGCAGTTTGAGTTCTCCAACCCTTGTTATTGCTCATGATTAACTTACTTTGCTTGGGCCTTTGCGTTTCCATGAAAATTTTAAAACAAGTTTTTCAATATCTACAACATAGTCTGCTGGAATTTTATTTGGAATCATGTTTCATTTCTTTCCCTTCCTAGTTAGGACCTCCAAGATGGTGTTAAAAAATGGTGATTATGTATATCCTAATCTTGTTCTAAAATTAAAGGAAGAGATAGATATAAATTAGAGTATTACTTCTAGTCTCTTAAAGATATCTTTTCAGAGAAAGGACATGACCTCATATTTCTAGTTCACTAAAATGTTTTGTCATGAACAAGTGTTGAACTTTAAAATATTTATGCATCTTTGACACAATATCTAAATTTTCTCTTCTTTTTACTTAATGTGCAGAATTACTTTGACCTATTTTTGAATGTTAAACCAACCTTGTATCCTTAGGATAAACTTCACTTATTTACTATGCATTATCTTTATTATATATTATTTCAGGAGTTTTTTTGTGTGTTTTTTTTTTGTTGTTTTTTGCTCATTGGGAACATTGACTGAGGTTTTCTTTTCCTGTAATATCTTGTAATGATTTTGCTGTCACAGTGGTCCTGGTTCCAAAATACAATTCAGGATAGACATTCACTGCTCTTTCACTTTTCAGATGAATTTGTGTAGAATTAGTGTAATTTCTTCTTAGATATTCAGTGTAATTCAGAAGTGAAGTCATTTGAGCCTGGAGTTTTCTTTGTGGAAATGTTTTTAACAACATATTTAATTTCTTTAATATATATGAGATTCTTTATATTATCTATTCATGAATGAAATTTTGTAGTTTATTTTGTTCTAGGTGTTTGTTCCTTGCATATAAATTTTAAAAATTATTGCAGGGTGTTAGGGAGTGGTAGAGGGAAAATGCAAACAAATGTACTTGAATAGCAATACAATAAATAAATAGATAGATAGATAGGTAGATAGAAAAAAATGTATTGTCCTATTTTTTCATAGTTTTCCTTTACTATTACATTTAGTATTTTCTCTAAACTCTATTGTGCTACAATCTCCAATTTTCTTATTGCTAGAAGTTTGTGAATTTTTTTTCTGACCAATCTGGCTATCCCTTTATGACCTTTTCAAAGTCAGCTGTTAGTTTTGGGTTTTTTCTCTTGCTTTTTTATTTGTTTGATTTTCATTTTGATCTTTATCAATTTCTTTCTTATGCTTACTAAGTATTGACAAGATATGAAAGAATTAAAATGCTGATGCACTGGTGAATGCTATGTAAAATGGTAAACCCACTTTGGAAAAAAGTGTGTCATTTTTTTTCAGTTAAACACATATCTACCATATGACCCAATCATTCTACTATTAGGTATTTACCAAACAGAAGTGAAAAAAAAAATGTCTACACAGAGACTTGTTCATGAAAGACATAGTTTTATTTGCAAAAGGCCAAAATTGTAAATAATCCAAACAACAGGGAGTATATAAAAATTGTGATGTAGTCATACACTGAACATCTCAGAAAAAAAAACAAATTAATAACACATGTGACATTATGTTGAGTGAAAAACACCAGGAAAAAAAACAAAAAGAGTACAATACTGTCTGATTTCATCCATATAAAATTCTAGAAAATTCAAAATAGTTTCATGTGATACAGGGCAGTTCTGTCAAGGGATGGGAGGGTTATACAAGTGGATGAGGAAACTTTTGAGGGTATCGCACATGTTATTTTGATTACAGTGATGATTTCACAGTTGTATACATTTAAATGTGATAAAACAATATTTTTTAAAACCATTCAATTTAAATAACCACAGTTTGTTGCATTTCAATCATACTTCAATAAGTTGTTTTTAAAAACTAGTGTTTCTTTCTTTCATTCACTTTTAGAACCCAGAACAAATGTTACTCAACAATCACAAAATATTTCAAAGAATGTTATGAAAAAACCAGCAACTCCAGTTGTTTGTCAGTCAAATATACAAGATAATGATACTGAGCAAAAGGTATAAAATTATGTGTCAAACTTTTATATGGTGATTATTATCTTATCTAGTTAACTTTCACTTCTATGAACTACCTCTTTCCCTGTAAGCATGGTACTGATTGGTTAGGAATATTAAGGTCTATTCATGAGACATGATTTCTGAAAGTGTTGAGTTAACTTTATGTTCCACTATGTTCCATTATGTGATTTACCAGAAACTAATCCAAACAAATACTTAGCAATAATAATGATAATACTGGGTAATATTTATTGAATATCTCCTATTGGCCAAGCCCTGAACTAAGCCAGAGGGAAGGGAAATGAGAAAATTGGGTCACACAGGATACAAAGATAAATAAGACAATCACTTGAGGACTCATTGTCAAGTGGGCCAGAGAGACACTGTAAAATGATTTTTACACTAAAATGAGATTCTGGAGTGATAAGTTATATTTTTATTCTAAGCAATGTGTTCATTAAGCATTAGATTAGATTGGAATAGGTTGGATTTTCTTGCCTTGAAACAAACTGAACTACTGTATAGCTTAAGAATCAATCATTGAATGCACTCCATGATTTAAACAAAATACTGAATATTGGAAGAGGAACACTTTTGGACATTGCTACATACTGAACTTAATTTCAAAATAGTTAAATTTGAGATCCCTGGGAAGTGTATCCTAGAAGGTTCTTAAGATGTAGTGTCCCTGAGACAATTTTCATGACATAATTAAGGGATGGAGGTCAGGGGGATTCTGTATCTGGTTGGTAGAAGGCAAAATCTCTTTCAGAAGTATAATTACTAATGAATATTTTTTTCTTCAATGTTGTACCATATAGAAAGATGGATTCATAAATAAAAAACCAAGTATTTGTAATGATAGAGGTAAGAAAATGAAAAATATAATTGTTTTGTTATTTGTTAAGGATATATTATAGTTTCATCATAGTTTTCAATCTGTTTATTTTACTAGATTTCATAAACTATACTTGTCCTAGAAAATAAAACATGTATAAGATTGCTTATGATTATAGATGTTATAACTAGCCAAAATATTTGAGTGATTATTTGATGAGTATGGGTTTTGAAATTTGCATGATGTGAAAGTTAGGGTCCCTGCTGTGGCTATTTATAATGATAGGCAGGGGAAGTTACTGACACATAATGGGCCAGTAACTTACAGTACAAAAATCTGGAAGATCCACATGGGGACCAGTGCCATCAATTCCCCACAGAAAATACATTCTATTTCCCACAACCCCCTGAGTAGGATGTACATTGACTAAGTTTTTAATGTGCCTTGTATATTTCTGGGCATCACTAAAAAACTCCTTCCTACGCATGTCAGAAAATATGAGACATCTCCATCCAGTGGCCAATAGCCACTTCAAATTCAATACAAAATTAAATTCATCATCTTCTTGATCCTTCTGTTTTCACCCAGGAACAAAACCTGAGTTATCTTTGACTCCTCCTCTTTCTTGTACTTCGCATCCCAAAGTTGCCGCTTTCTGTAGAATCTACCTTCTTAATTTACCTTGCCCTCTCCCCTTTCACATTCCTGCACCTCTGCCTTGTTTTCTCCATCCTTTAATGTTTTGGTACCCTTCCTCCAATCCCTTCCTCCTTTTTTAAATTCACCATATGTTTGCTGTGAAAGCATTCTTCCTAAAAAACAGCTTGGTTATTTAAATAGTTAGTGGTTTTCCATTGCAGACTGAATGAAATGCAGTTATTTCTGGCCAAAGCCTTTGGTTAGTTATACGGATTAAGCTGGTCTTAAAATTCAGTAAGTTAGGATCAAGGCTTAAGAATCTGAGTCTTCTCCTTGGAACTGATAGTAGACCACTGGTACTTTGTAGGCCATGAACATCAAAAAAACCCATGTTATCCTTTTAGATACTTCCTGAACTCAAATAAATCCCTCATTGTGGTAATCCAGTGATTGTGGTGGCTCAGCAGGAAGAATGCTTGATCAATTCTGTTAATATTCATCTTTGTTACAGCAATATTACCTTCTCATATTTAAAAGTATCTCTTCTTTTTCTAGGACCTCTGTACATTTCACCTCAAGATTCAGTTACTTCAGGTCAAACTTCACCCACAAGAAATTTTCCCAGATCTTCACAGTCTTATTTGGCTCCTCAAAAAGTTGAGGTATGTAGTATTTCTTTTGCCCCAAATGCAAACAGAATTAATCTGGTACCATCTTAATATCATCATTGATATAAAAAAAATCATTCATAAAGTGACCATACAGAAAAAACCCAACCCTGAAACTAATACCCCATAATTACATTTTAATAGCCCTAGGATAGTCTTCCTAGGGTACAATGTAGTATTCCATAGCTGTACCTGTGACATTAAAAGGAAGTATAAAAGTGGGTTTCTTTGATTGGTTTTGCCTAGTACTGATAGGTTGTTTAGCGACACCCATACTGTCCCTCCCCATTCCCTTTTGACCAGTGATAGGTTACCTGCTGTTGGAAAGTTACCAGCAAAGGGCCAGGATACAGGTTGGTGTTATAGGTGTTAAAATTGCATCTTCCATTCCACTAGTAGCACAGTGTTCACTGGTTAAACTGTGCTGAAGAGGGAACATGGTTTTAAAGAGACTTCAATAAACTGAAAATTGGTTAAATTTTTTCAAATGAATTCAGAAAATGATATCATTTTCTGTGTTCTCTGATGCAGGAGTCCCCAGCCCCTGGACCATGGGCTAATGTCCATGGCCTGTTTGGAACTGGGCCACACAGCAGAAGGTGAGAGCTGAGCAAGTGAGCAAAGCTTCACTTGTCTTACTGCCTGAGCTCCACCTCCTGTCTCCACCCTTCCCCTCCCTGTAGAAAAATTGTCTTCCACAAAACTGGTCCCCTGGTGCCAAAAAGGTTGGGGACCACTGCTCTAGTGCATAATATGGATTCTGTCAGGCAAAAGTCCAGACATTGTTAATGTAATAAGAACAGTTTTCACAACATCGATATAACCTGGCAGCCGAGAATGTACTGGAATCCACATGCATGAACAATGATACTTCACTGTACTAGTCAGTGGGAGTGGTAGATGTTATTGAGTGAACATGTGTACTGTGTGGCTATAACATTCAAAATGACTGAGCAACTAGAACAATAAATCTGCATCAGATTTTGTGTTAAGCTTGAACATTCCTCTGGAGACACTATTTGGATGATTCAGAAGGCCACAGCTATGGGCAACTAACTGGGGATTGTCAGCTTTACCACAACAATGTACCTGCTCGTGCATCATGTCTCATGAAGAGATTTTTGGCAAAACATCAAATCACCCAGGCAACTTAGTTCCCCCTTACAGCACAGATTTTGTTCCCTGAGTCTTTAGACTTTTCCCAAAACTAAAATCACCTTTGAAAAGGAAGAGATTTCAGACCATCAATGAAATTCAGGAAAATATAATGGGGCAGCTGATGGTGATTGGGAGAACTGTGTGAGGTCCCAATATGTCTACTTTAAAAGGAACCAAGGTATCATTGTCCTATATAGAATGTTTCTTGTATCCTGTATCTTCTTCAATAAATGTCTCCATGTTCCATAATGTATGGATGGATACTTTCTGGACAGGCCTCATATATGGCAGACTACATTATGCATCACTTTTACAATGTAGTATGTTTATTCTCATGTATATTATGGTATGCTTCTCTGTAGGGGAGTTTTATTATAAATAACATTTTAAAGCTCAATGTTCTATGTCAATATCTACTTACATATGTTAAGAGTCATAAAAATATTTCTTAACGGCTCTGACAAAGCTCTCATATTGTCCAACAAATTTCTAAGACTATGTCTTTTTACTAAAAACAAACAAAACAACTCCTTCAAAAACAGTGTCTAGATATTATAATTGACCTTTTTGGGTAATAAGAGTGTTACTAAATTTGCCATTCATATAATCTCAAATGAGTATCAAAATGTTTACAAATATCTAATTTATGAGAAATTGCATTTTACTGATGTAATTATTCATCCTGTTTCCAGCATGTTGTATCCAGGCTACCACTGTTAGAAAATGTACTTCTTGTAGACTATGTTCATCCTTCAGAATTGGTAAAAAGAAAAGTCTGTTGCTCTGGGTTTACCTCCCTGAGCAGATTGAATTCTTGGAGAAGTCTACAGAGCTACATCCCTACACATTCAGAGAACCTGTTCTGTCTTCCAGCTCTTTTAAACTTTTTTATATTGCTATCTTTGTTCAAAAAAACAAACCTATTCTTTTGTCCCATTGAGTTGATTGACTTCCTTACTAATCAATGCACTCCAGAAATAGTTAATTTTCAAATACCAGTGAACATTGTTGTGCAGAAAAGAGTTGACATAGTAGGCCTGAGACCTCTGTTTTTAAAAAAGGCCTTCTTGCAAGGTTTGCCTTTGGCTAGGGTTCAGGAATTTGGCTTTTCTAATATTCCCTGATATAGAACTTTTCCAAACTGAGTAGGTGAGACACTGTACCTAGACCCTGCAAAGAAAGTAATTTTTGCTGAACATCTGATTGCCATTTGGGAGGCTGGAATTTTGGCACCCACTAAGGCAGGGGTGTTATCATGAGCAGCCTTCAGTGAAAACCTTGAGTGCTGAGGTTTTACTGTATTTTCCTGGGCATGAAAACTACATATTTCTGCATTTTTTTATTGCTGGAGAAAGGAACGTGATCAAGTATGTCCTCCCACAAGAGGGAAAGAGCATAAGGAAGACAATGCATGGATTTTTCCAGACTCAGCCTCCTTATTTTCCCCTGATCTTTTTTTTTAAGATTTTATTTATTTATTTTTAGAGAAAGAAGGGAGGGAGATAGAGAGAGAGAGAGAAACATCAATGTGCGGTTGCTGGGGGTCATGGCCTGCAACCCAGGCGTGTACCCTGACTGGGAATCGAACCTTCGACACTTTGGTTCGCAGCCCGCGCTCAATCCACTGAGCTACGCCAGCCAGGGCTTTTTTCCCTGATCTTATAGTGTATCCTTTATTTTGTAATAAATCTTAGATATAAACACAAATATACTCTGAGTCCCATGTGTCTTAACAAATCACCAAATGTGTGAGTAGTCTTGCGGACCACCTATGATGTAACCACAACATTTTAAATTCTGTAAATTATAGATTTATTATAAGCAGCAAAAATATGTGTACTTCTTAAAAATTGACATTTAGGGGAGATTCTCAAAATCTAAATTTGTGTATTTAAATATGTGTGTGTGTCGATGTTCAAATCCTGGAAAAAATCATTTGAGGATGTTTGTTGCTTTTGTTTGGTTTATACAGAAGGACATGAATTGTGATTGGAGTAAGAAGCAAAACAAAAAACCAAGCGTCTTCTGTGAATCAGGTAAACATCAACAACAGCTACTGAGTAAATTATGTGATCTTTTAAATCAATGTCTCCATTGAGCCCCTCATTCATTCTGGGTATGATGCTGAATATTGAAGGAAGAAAACCCATGTTCTTATCAAAGGCTGTTAAGGTGAAGTGAGGAGATAGGCATGCCAATAACCACAACCCAATAGGATCTATACAATAAAGGGAATCGGTGTATACAAATCAGAGCAAGTAGAGAGGAGACAGTGCCTTGGTCTACCTATGGGTAGTCAGGGAAGCTTTTATAGAATAAACATAATTGAGACCCTAGACAGGTAGCTCAGTTGGTTGGAGCGACACCCTGATATATGCAAGATTGCAGGTTTTATCCTCGGTCTGGGCATTTACAAGAATCAACCAATGAGTTCATGGGTGGTTAAAACAACAAATCAATGTTTCTGTCTCCCTTCTCCCTCTAAAATCAATGAATAAAATTTTTTATAAAAAGAATAGACATAATTGAGATATACTATCTTCCCCATTCAGAAATAAATTGTTTGTCATAGTAAAATTTTAATGTTTTAAATCAAATCTCCTTTATCCTATTGCTTATGTTGATTCTTAAAATTATTATGTTAAATAATAGTCATTTGGTCATATGTACTATTCTTTTTCTATGTACGTGGATTCAATATGCCAATGTTTTGTTTTACATTTTTGTTTCTGCAGTCATGGTAGTGAGTGTTCTATAATTTCCATTTCTCATAATGTTTTTTTTCCACATAAAAGTTGTGCTATCCTCATAAGTATTAATCCTTTATTTTCTACTGGAAGAGCTACAGAGAATATTGGATTATTTTTGTTCATTAAATATTTTGTAGAATTTACTGGTGAAGCTATCTGGGCTAGGAGTTTCCTATTTTAGGCAGTTTTTAATTACAATTTTAGAAAATTAAATATATGATGATTTAGTTGCTACTCTTAGTAAGTTATCATTTTCTAGGAATGAATTACTTTACCTAAGTTTTCAAATGTATCAGCATAAAATCATTCATAATATATCACTTTATGAGTGAGTATATTTCTTATACTAATATTTTACTGTTTTAGTTAGAATTAAAACCTTTTGGGAAAGACAAATTTTTGTGTTCATTAAATAATCTAAAAGCACACAAATCTATGTAACCTCAGGTATGAACATTAAATATAAAATAATCTGTACTGCCAAAGCCCCATGTTTTTCCTTCTCAAATCAGAACATTCTGCCTCCTTCTCTAGTAACCATTCTCTTGATTTCTACCACGATATTAGTATTGCCTGCTTTTGAAATTTATATAAATGGAATCAAGATATATATATATACCTTGTATATATATATACACATTATATATATATATAATGTTTCTGGTTGTTTCTCTCAATATATTTCTGAGAATCATCACTTTCTTTGTGTGGAGTTGTGGGTGATTTATTTTCATTGTTGTATAGTTTATGAACTACACAATTTGTTCTACTGTTCGCAACTACTTGGATTTTTCCAGATATGAGCTGATAAAAGGAATTCATTGTTTGTGTGTGTGTGACAGAGAGTAAGAGAAACCTATTGGATACATATCTAAGAATAAAACCACTGGGCCATTCTGTATATATGTGCATGTTCAATTGTAGTAGATGATGCTCAAGAATTTTCTGAAGAGCTTACACCCCGTCAAAAATCACAGGAGAGTTCTTGTGATTTGATATCCTCAACTCTTGATACTTTATTATTTAATTCTAGCCATTCTGGTGGGTTGATATCTCATTGAGGTTTGAATTAACATTTCTCTTATTAGTAATGAAGTTTCATGTCTTTATTGGCCACTTGGAGATCCTGTTTTTGAAGGTTTTATTTCAATCTCTTACCAAGTTTTCTATCATGTTGTGCCCCTGCTGCTTGCTGATTTGTAAGCAGGTTTTGCTGCATTCTAGACGATGAGCCCTTTGTTGAGTATAGTGATGCTTTATATTCTCACACTATATTCTTTCTTTTTCTTTATTATGGATTTTGAAGAATGGGTTATTATTCAAATTGTATTTTATTTTTGATTAGTTATCTCTCCCCTGTGAAAGAAATCTTTTCCTAGCTAATGTTCATAAAATAATCTTTTTTATTTAGAAAATTTGGGGGAGAAAATTTAAGCTCTAGTTTATTAGCAAATTCCAATTATTCAATATCACATTATCAACTACAGACATTATGTGATACATAAGATCCTCAGACTTTACTCATCTTACAACTAAAGGCTGGCCCTTTACCAGCCTTTCCCTATTTCTTGCATGCCCCAGCCCTGGCAACCACCCTTCTACTCTCTGTGTCTAAGAGTACAACTCTTTTGTAAAAAAAATTAGATTCTATATAAAAATATGTGTCTTTGGTTTATTTTAGTTAGCATAAT